GGACAAAAAATTGCTCATTTTTGCTTGTTAAAAAAACTCTTTTTTTTTATTTTTCTTATTTTATTGATACTCTAGATTTATTGAAAAAGAATTATTTGATATCTATAACATCATCATGTCATCACAAGTTACTAATGTTGTTGGTACATGGAAAATTGTTGATTATTCACAACATCCTGAATGCTTTGGTTGTCAAATTGAAATAAAACATGAAAAAGAAGATGAAAATATGTATCGTCTTCGTGCATGCGTAATTAATGATTTAAATTGTACTTTGCAACATAATTCTACAACTAATCAATGGCAAATGTGTTCATTTAGGACAACAGAAATGGGTGGCTCACCAGAAGATATGAAGAAAGAAGATGTAATCAGTAATTTAATGCGCGATATACAAAAAATGGAAGTTCAAGGTGAACAACAATTAATCATTCAGACAAATAATGGTGAACAAGTTCGATTAGATCGTTTACAGTAACAGGCACCATAATTAATGACAAAGAATATATTTTGTTTTGATTCAGGAGATAAACAATCAGGCAATGACTATTTCTACTATAAAACTTACTTATATTTCTCATCTTTATTCAACTAATACATCTTAACGTTTCAGTTATTAATTTCATAAAGAGAAATACAATATAATTCGATTAAAGTTGAAATAAGCAAGGATGTGGGGTGTGTGTGTGTGTGAATAATTGTCTACACCCACACTTTTGTTCATAACTCTTAATCTATAAGACTCACAAACATTTTGAACAAAGATTTAGAAAGAGTACAATGTAAGCCAATGCTTAAGCATATCCGTCGACTCTTTTATCTACTCAAAAAATGAAGAAAATTTCGCACCAACTGTTATATCGAAAATTTTAATATTTTACGAAAATAATCTAAATTTTCTCTTTAAAGACATGTAAATGAATGATTATTATTCTTTCTGAAGAAATTTTTTAATGTTGTTTTTATTGTATTTTAGAAAACTAGAAATATCATGATGTATTCAAAAGGTTAGGTCTTTTATTTTCAAGTAAAATTTTGCATATTTGAAAAAGCTCGTTAAATTATGGTAGAATAGAAACTACACACAAATATGAACGTCTGAAATAATATACTTATTATTCACATAGAACAGATTCTTTGAATTCAAAAAAACAGCTTTGTAATTTTCAATTGAAATGTAGGACTACACAATGCTTCTTTAACTTAAATGAGATGATGATTAAATTGATGAGTGTGACACAGAGTAAAAAATAAAATGTCGAAACAATCATTTTTTCACGTCTTTTATAAATTGTTCTTGATGTGAGTTTATAATATACGAAAAGAGTAGATAATGGAAAATGGTAAGCATTACAAAAAAAATGAAAAACATAAATGTCTTTTATATTAAATTGATTATTTCAACTTTGTAAAAGAGAAGTTTTTCTTCATCAGCAGATAATGTTGTTTTACGTTCAAATATTGTTCCATTTTGTGTGCATTCACTATTAGATGTTAGTAATTTCACCGATAAATCTTGAATTATTTGTTTATATTCCACAATTATTGATCGATTATTCTTAAAAATTTTTAGGGTGTGGGTGGGTGTGGGTATGTGGGTCGTAGCTAGAACACTGAAACATATTTAACACTAGTTGCTGAGGCATATGATGGGATGGGAGGAAGGAAAAGTCGAAAGAGTGTGGATAAAATACATTCACGCCCACACACCCTTGCGTCCTCTTCAGCCTGTAATTTTTCACTTTCTTGTTAGTGTATGATGCCGGTACTTAGGTTATTTTGAAACTTGTGAATCTCTCAAAGGTCAATAGAGAAGGGTGATGTTAAGCTTGTTTTCATTGTGACTGGCAGGTTCAGATCAAACTTCTACAACTCTATCATATAGCATCAACAACAACGTTTTTTTGCCATCCAAGTAGTGAAAGATTCCGTTCTTCATTTAAAAAAAATTTTATGCATTTATTTTTTTGTGGAAGTAAAAAGGATTGAGTATCTCATCCTCTATTTTTGAGAAGAATTTCCATATGTGGTCAAATAGACAAACATATAGATCTATTACAAAACAAAAGATAAAAGAGACAGAGAAAGAAAAATGTTATTCTTACGTTTTCTTTTTTCCCTATTTATACTCAGTATTCATAAATGAGAAACAAGTAGCTCATTTTGAAAACCAAAAAATTTTCTAACTATAATATGACAAGTAGATACGTCGACGACGAAAGCAACATGAAATGGCTAAATGAACGAATCTTGGATGCGGGCAACGAGCCATACGATTTCTTTTCTGTTATTCAGAATTATGAAAAAGTCCCACTTGTTCCACTCGAAGAAGCTGCCAAACCTATTTCTCATCTCATTGACAATCTTTCAGCTGACATCTAGATTGCTAAAGAAAAATGTAAAAATCCGAAGGATGACCTAACACCAGATGAATCAGCCTCTATCTATCTCTACACAATGGAGTCAGTTTATGCTCTCCTTGACCAAACACCTCGTGACAAACGTCGAAAAGAGCTCATCCCATGGTTCGGCTATATAAAGCTAGTCCTAACGGCTATTTAGCAGTTACCATCGATCAAATACATCGTCTGGCGAGGTGTGAACACTTATCCTGGTGGGGCTTCAGCTCTTGCATAAAATCTCTCACCGTTCTTCAGTCAGAACAGTTCCTTGGAGAAACAGGTCCTAGAACTCACTTTAGCACTGAATGTATTGGGTGTGGATGTGAGTGTGAAGGTCAATGTTCATCATTCCACACTCACACTCGAGTTTTCGACATCAAACAAACTGAACAAATTTTTTCTATACATTCGATCAATGATTTCTTCGACTGTCTTTGAACAGATCAATTCTTCCGTATCAGACAAGAAATTCCATCGACATTGTTCCATGAATTGACAGATATACATTTTCGCTTGATAATAATAAGAACGATGCATAAATTCGTCGACGATGAACGTATTGCTTGAATTTTTTCTCTATATATGTGCGTACTGCATACATAGTTCATAATAACATATTTCCTTCGTCAATTATCATACATAGAGAGGTTGGAAAGGAAAATATGTCGGTCATCGTCTCCTGAGAGAATCATTAGTGTACGTTACATTATTTTTCTTGACTTCATGTACATGTTGAATCCAAAGATTTCCACACCTTAGTAGTAACAACTTAGCTTCTTCCACATCATGAAATGGAGTGTTGAATGGAATAGGCGAAAAAAAGTTAATTGATATACTATCACGATACAAATGCAGATGGTAAGACTTATCGAGGCAAGTTTATTGAATCGTACAAAAATCTTCATCAGCGATTCCACGTTAAATACATCGACTTCATTCTAATTCAAAATTTGGCAAGAACTGAACATTTCTGTAGAAAACGAAACCGTGTGCTAGCTTCTGAATCGAAGAGAGATACTCCTTAAGATTATGTAATGATAGGATGACATCTCGAAAGATTCTTTATTATGGTGTATTTCAGGATGAACTAGAAATTGAAGTTGACAACGAATCGCTTGACACAAGTATATCAACGTCACTTACTTTGGCATCAAGTATATACAGATTGACAACTCTAAATAGTTACTTCTTCATTTCATTCTAGAAAAACGAAAGTGGCCTATGGAACAGATCATCTTTGGTGTTTATCTCACCTTGCCTTTCTTCTTTGAGTACTACATAAGAGTAGCCATGAATGGTCTTGTAAAGGTTGATTTCTGAAACTAATCACTATCAGTTTCTTGTCTTATCATCATGATAGTAGTATTCATTTTTGTTCGGTACCATATCATACTTGTCTTTGTGACATATCCTCTCACTCTGAATTCTATATATTAGTGACCCCAATAAATAAATTCAAATGTATAAGTTATTTTTATTTGCTATTGATTGGTTATAAATTCAAGAGATAGAAAAGGTCGTAGGAACTTGTGAGATTAGATACTAGATCGCAGGTTCACTAAGTAAAAAATCGAGTTGTTCCTCGCAGACTTTATCAGTATTTAGACTATTCGGACAATTAGGTGAGTTTCACTGTCTCTATCTAGCCTTGTTTCCATCAACTGTTCTTGGTTATTTTTAGTTCACCAGTGAAATGGCATTGCAGATAATGGGCCGATATAGTAATCCACCACTAAGTGAAATACCAACAACTGCTGATTTTCGAAATACAATAATGGCCGTAAGTCACTCAAGGCATGCCAATTGATTGACATTATGAATAAAGATTGTAGGTAATTGTGGTTTTTCATTACAGAGTGATGTAGTTTCTTAATTATAGGATCAACAATCGATGACTGTCGATATTGAAGATCCAATTTCTCTTTTTCTGTAACGACATAGTATGTTACTCAAAATAAAACCGTGAAATAAAAGAATAGAAAAGATTCACTTGTCACTTAACAAATCTGAATTGCGTGCTCAAAAATCTATTGCGTTCTTGTAACAACCAAGGTCGTTCGATATGAAATTGATGAATTTGAGGGTGGTATAAGTGTGAAAAGGAGAAGAAAAGATACCCACAATACGGAACAAACTTTGAATCCTAGAAGAAACCAGTCAAATCATAGGGGTTTATGGGAGATTATCAAAAAACAAAATAATTAGAAGATAGACAGAGAACAGAAGAACAGGGGGTGGGTGTCATCTTATCGACACCCACACTTCGAGCGGTTTAATAGGATGCTTAAGAACGCTTCCAGATTTTTTTTCTGGAATTCGAAAAAAAACTTCCGGAATTTTCTGGATTTTTACTTTCACAGCTGGTAATTCTGTTTGTGTCGTTGCTTTCAATTTATCTTTCTTAGGAAGAATCATTGGTTTGCTTTAGCTTATAGCAGATCAATATGTCAATGAGCAACACTATGTCCGAATCTGTTTGACAACTTTTGTGTTGGTTAGTATTGATTCTGGAGAGTGAATCATCCTTGAATAGATAATCGATCAATATGGATTTATACCATAATAGGAAAGGAGGAGTAGCAAATCTCTCGTGCATATTTGTAAACATGTATCATAGCCGCTAGCATTGTTCAACTGCTCAAGAATGTTCTCTAGCTGTCCGATTGGCTGAAACCGGATCAATAAGATTCAGAGAAGAATTCATTGCTTTGATGAAAGTTCAATATGTTTTACCAATGGCTGCTTCTTTCTTTCAGATTCATAATGTGATAAAAAAGAAAAGAAAAAAAACCGAAACGAAACATGATAAAATATCGTAAATACCTTCTTTTATGCAGTCAACGATTATATATTCACTTTTGAGAAGATGTCAGAACTACGAATTGTCTCATCGAGAGGCAGTTGTCAAGGTGGAATGATTCACTACCATATTCACAGTACATTGATCGGGTCTGTTTCTGTCTGCCATTGTCGAATGTGTCAAAAAGCCATGGATCATGTGTTTGGTATATTTGCTACGTTTAAATTTGGCGATATTTTATGGACAAAAGGCATGTCAGACAGATTTTAAAGTTTATCAATAGGTTATCGTTTATTCTGTTCGAATTGTGGTACTCCGTTAGCATTTTTATCTATTGGTCAAACAACAATCGAAATAACAGTTGACAGTCTTGATCATTCAGCGGAACTTGTATCTATGAACCGAACTGGCATTGAAAGTCAAATTAGCTGGATAAAGTCTTTGTCAAAACTACCAGCTAAGACTATGGTTGAATCTGATTCAAACTCGATCAATATCGTCAGTTATCAACATCCTGATCACGATTAATCTTCTGTTAGTGATACTTGATCTATCTCAATATTCACCTTTCTATTTGTCTTCTTAGATCAGTGTGAAATAAAGATTTCCTCAAGAATAAAAGTGAATGTATGAAAATCAACATTATATATCGAACTAGACTCGACCACAGCATAGATCAACAGACAATAATGATCTTGAAAGTATATTTATTTAAACAGAGGTGGCAGCAACATTTCCTTCTGATAGTTATTCTAGAAAATTGTTATATTCACTGAGATGTGAAAGCGACGCCTTTGAAGTTTGAGGACCAAAGAATAGAGCTATTCTATATTGAGATACTAAATCGGCGCTAATTCTTATCTTGATTAATCATATATAAACAGTCTGTAAGAAAAAAAAACCAGCAGAATTATATTTCAGAAAAGCTATAAAATAGAAAGCAATTTTGTGTCTTTTTCTCGGAAGGAATTTGTTTATCTTTTTTCCAATCATAATATCGTAATAATGTGAGTAACCATCCAAGAATATTAAATCCAAATGCAAACGAATGGTAAAAATTTAAATCTCGAGCAAGATGTTTTGAAGGTTTTTCAGCCAGTTGCGATTCTAACGGCATTACGCAGACGAACATCGTGTATACTATACCAAAGAATTGTATAGCTTTTATAATATCGATCACATTACGTCTGATCGTAGCTTTTTTAGTAAACATGTGAATTAAATCACGAAGTGCATCGATCATGGATAATGGTAAAACAATCATTATACATAATTGCCACCATTTTCATATTGGTGCTTGACTTTTGAATATTATATATTCTTGATAAAGTTCGGGTTTCTTCTCTCGTAGCACACACATCGTCAAACTGGAATCAATAAGTTCCACAGTTAAAAAATATGTACCTATGAATAAACCAATGATTAATTGTGATGTAGAAAATGGATTTTTGTATTGATTAACATCGACATCTTTGATACGTTTGATAGTTGATATCTTTTTCAACGACGAATGATATTCTTATAAATCTATGGTGAATAGGAAAGAGAAGTCAACCATAAAAATATATGGATTTCAAACGAATACAATACTAATATCTTGAGTATCTTTAAGACAAGTTAGGAAATTAAAACAAGTGATCACATACTAACATAAGTTGAAAAGATTCACACGACAATAGCAATTACGTAGAAAGATTCCGCTCGACTAGAGACAAAAAAACAATCTGACTATCTCTAAGATGAATCTTCTCACTAACTATTCACATTACATCGAACAACGAAAATGTCAACTTTCACAGTTATCACTATCTGATATCGACACAAATAATAAAGGCTAACAGGGTCTTCATTTTATACTCAAACGCTAGTAATATTATTTTTTGCTTGTTTATTATTCATGTTAAGAGGTATTTTTCATCTTCACTGTATATTACCTTCGTGCTTTGAAGAAATATGGTGAACACTGTTACCTATTTTACTGTGATCGATCGTGTGTATTGATTTAACAGAACGAAAAAATTTCGAAATAACAACATGCTTACTTTATCGAGATCGATGAATTGTTCTCAGTGATATAAATCTACTGGAAAAAAAACAGTCGATACTGGTTGTAAAAAAAATATAGAAAGCATGAGCACTGAAGATATTGTGTAGAGGGATCTAAACTTATCAGTCAGCCTTAAGAATAAGATAGAGATCTACAACTTTCACGATTCGAGAGAGAAATTTTGCTAATCCATAGTTTCACGTATTATTTAACAGTGTTGATTGATGAACAAATATTTAGTCAGTGATCTTCGAAAACATGCAGATAAATCTATGAATGTAGTAGAGAAGTGTTGCTCTAAGAATTATTACTAGAAACGCGTTCTCACGGAGAAGACAGATGTAACAATGGGTCTTGAGCATACATTTTTAGCACTATTCTGAGCATATCAACCGATATTGTCAAATAATTCATGAAACTATAAGTTCACGCAGCCATACTTGGAGATCTTCCTAGACTAAGGTCAAAACTAATTCAGATCATCTGTAGATGATTATATCATCTAGATTCTTTACATTGCTCATTTATATCACTTTCCGTGATATATAGAATTATCTGAATCTCAAACTAACGAATGAAATATCAGATGATGTTTCTGGAACATCTCCGACAATTCTCTTCGTTCTTTGAAATTCGTGGTTAGTCAGTGCAAAAAATATAAGGTTACTGAGTTACTCTCCTTTTTAAAAATCAGCTTGATCTATTCTACCACCATCAAACGATTAATTCTGCGTTCTCATCGGTAGAATAGCACAAGTAGAATATTTTTTTATATCATATACATTTTTTGCTTCAGTAATTCGTATCCCTTCTTTTTCTTCCTTCTGTTCCCTTCACATGTGTACATGGACAGAACAACGTGAGAAAGAAAGAAAAAATATTCTTCTTCGTATACTCTTCTTCTCTTCGTTCTATTCTTGAATCTTCACTCAATTACTTCGTAGACGATCAGTCGAGAGAAGATAGTAAAATGAGTCAGAAAATACAGTATAAATACAAAATACACAATCTTCTTCGAGTATCAAACTAGTAAGTAATGTCATCAGGCCAAGGAAATAGTTCAGCTCATGCGCCTGAAAGTGGAACAGGATTAGATCCTGGTGAACAATATCATGGTGCATCATCAGGAAACAGCTCTAGCATTGATAATGCACTGGAAAGTGGAACCAAAGGTGGTAGTAGTGCAGGTGAACATGTTTCATATTATCTCATCGAAACACCAGTATTAATAAAAAAAATATTTCTTAATGGAAAGATTGATGCTTCATATTACTCAGTAGGAGATGATTGTTATCTATTCATTAATGTTAGAGCATCTCATGACAAATATAGAATATATCTCGTTTGTAGACCATTGATTACTCTAGAGAATACATGAAATCAACATGACGATATTAAATCAAACCACATCATTCGAAGAGTGAGATTATTTGCAACCGATTTTTTTGAAATATCTTATTGTTCTGCAAATATTTCTATTATAATCCCATTTGATTGAACTTCAAATTCTGAAGTTGGATTTTTTTTGTTTCGAACTCTTTAGATGTTGATAATCATGATGAACTCTTCTTTGATCGAAAGTCTTTCATTTCCAATGCAAGAATGATTGTAACGATGTCATGTTTAGTATACATAATAGTTGTTCTTTTTCTTCACTTTTGCTATCACATCAAGAAGATATCTTCCATCTTAATGTTGAGTATCGTTCCATTTATTCTGCAGTCTTATTGAAGACTAATTAGTAATCTCAATGAATAATTCATCTTTCGAATGATGTCTTAAGCTTTGTTGAATTCCCAGTTATTTCTGAATCTTGTTATCTACCATGCCAAAGTTCTTATATCTTATGTATTGTGATATTCTTTTCAACCGCTTTTGATATCAACGAAAGAAAATGTATTCAAATCGCTTATTTAAAGTACTATCGATATCGACAAAAGAAAGAGTATGTTCATCAACATCACACATTAAAAACAAGTGTAAACATATACCTATAAACAAGTGTTTTAGTAGAACATGGATATAATCTAAGATTACAGTAACATTAGTATTTGCATGTTCTTCTCGTACATGAATACCGATTTTAGATCCCCTAGTGTTATTTCCAGTATTCGAATCGATTTGTGCAGATCAATATCAGTAATAACCTTGGAAAACTGTTATGGATTCAATTTCTAGAAGTGTTCATATGTGTTACAAAAGTAATAGAAAAAACGTTCAGACCTCTGTAATTTCTTTTCGAAAATGTTCAATTAGAATGCTCAGCTTTGAATCAGTATTACTTGTTCGGGTGAGTTTTACATGCCACGCAGTAATACTTTCCTCCATTGGTTTGATTTTGTCAATGCAAAAAATGGTATGCATTGAGAAAAGAATTTCTTTTTCTTGGTGATAATAGCTAACATTGTCCAGCAGAGCAAACGAAGTCGATGAATTGATAGTGATTTCAACTCTCACACGGCACTTAAACTAGTTCATATACCACGAATGTCAATGTTGTGTCGTGTGTATGCCTTCTCGCATATCGATTCTCTCGCAGCACTGACACGCCAATACTTACTCCCACACCCGAATTTCGTTCTAAGATCATGGAGAAAGATCACAACTCGAATAAGTTGCATAGCTTCGAAAGCTCCGAACAAGAATAGTTCAAAGAGAAAAAAAATACACAAACATCATAAATGAAAGGCTGCACAAATCAGTAAAGGTATCATCAGTTGTTAAAATCCTATCTTTTGAAAATAGAGAAAGGAGAGAGAATAGGAAAGACTTCAAAAAGATTAATAAATTTTTTGTGACAGCAGAATGCAAAATGAATAACTAAATACATTTCCTGATCGAAGATAAATAAAATAAACTTCTCTGTCTGAATATCATGACTAGTAGCTCGCCGATATCCAGCTTATGGATATTATGACATCTCTGAAAAGTGTCAATAACTATTATTCTACCTTTAGTATCATTTAGTGACTTTTTTCGTATATCAGAAATTTTTTGGTTTTTTCACATACGAACAATTAGCACAACGATAATTCTACGAATAAAATTAATCTTGATTTAGATGACATTTATCATTAATTTTGAGACATTTAAAACTTTCATTTTATGTCAAACAAAAAAAAATTTTAAATATATGACAGAGGATAACTATTCACTTAATTATCTGTTTTCTCGTCTTTGTTTTTGCACATATGTCTTATTAATTCTCTTCATAATATTGCTTATCACTAACTTTGATGTATATTGTTTTTTTTCTTTTTCTCTTTCAATAAGTATATAACAGAATAAATACTAGGCCAGAACCTCTCATCTGGTATACTAATTCTTTTGATACAAAGAAAACGTTTTTTTCATTTAATTTGTATCATATTTCCCTTTTCTAAAAATTAAGAATAATCAGAATTTAAAGATATTGATGAGATCGACTATTCTGGTTTCAAAAATAATCTTCAGTTAAACAATTTGTTTGATTTTATCTCTTGAAATGAGTCTAATCGCTTCTCAAAAATCATCTCATTCTCAATTATCTTTCAATCTTATTTCGTTAAACCTTAAGATAAGTGTTACTATCGAACAGTGCTGAATAAAAGACATATTTGGAATGTTGTTTGACAGCAGTAATCATTTCAACAATAATGTAGGTGAATAGAAAAGTCAATTAAATCTAATATTTGTCTAAGCATTTGCAACAAAAAAGAAAGATACATAAAACATTAGGCTCAGTTCCTTTCTGAGATCCGTTTCTATCTAAAATGATGCCAGATGTGAGTTATCATATAATGGTGCTACATGATATCATGAAAGTGGAAAAAAAATATCAAAAAGGATGCAGGAACAAACTGCTCTTAGTAATATCAACCATCATTTTTGATAGAAACAGAGAGAGATATAAATAACAGATAAAACTCTTTATATTACACTCATTTAGAATCGCTATAGATGATGTTCTTCGTCAAAAATTTTCTCTATTTTATTCTATTACATTTGGTGATTGCTTCACCTCAAATTAATCTTTATCTTACCGATGAGGTAAATGATAATAAGACTGATATTGTATTTCAACATAATTGTCTTTATGTTCCTACTTTTACTGGAAAAGAAAATAATATTCATCAAATTATTTCTTATTGTTTAACTGAATGGTCATCAAAATGGATTATTGAAGAAAATAATCTTGATCAAAAATTTACTTTCAATCAACTTTACAAACAAAATATTACTAGTCAACAATTATATCTTTGGTCAGCACCTATGGATGTAGTTGAACGTTATCAATTCTATTTAAATCATCTTTCAATTTCAAATCAATCATCTTTCATGGCAACACAATTATTCTATAATTGTACATTACCAAGGTTTGGTCCATTATGTCAATATTCATTGGATACTTACATATCTCCTAATTCATCATTATATGAAATTATTTACGATTTTTATCAACATGAATATAATCCTATAAATTTGACATGTTATACTCATTTAGAATGCAATCGAGGTCCTTCATCAATATGTCTTGATTGGACTGAAATTTGTGATGGAACTCTTGATTGTCAGAATGGGGTTGATGAAGAATTTTGTGGGCAACTTCACTTTAGTGACTGTGAAGAAAATGAATATCAATGTGCTAATGGACAATGTGTATCCAAAATATTTTTACGTGACAATCGTAATACTTTCGAATGTCTTGATCGAACAGATGAAATTCGGAAGAATATGAAGAGGAATAGTCCTTTAGTTTTCGAGTTTCGTAGTGAACCGACATTTGCTACTGAAGATATCGCATGCCCACAGCACCATGACCAAATCCATATGAAATTGACAAGTTCATGTGTGTCAAAACGCGTTAAAATACTCGAGAAGTTACTGTTAAATGACAAACCAATTGAAGTATCTGATGATTGCTGGATAGCAGTTAAATGTCAGTCAGGCATTTATGATCGACTCGATCCAAGATGTATTATTCATTGTTCCAAAAGAACATGTAAAGAAATAATCAATCAGACCTGTCTAGATATGCTACCCGTACCAGCAGGCACAATGGTCTTTGGTCATATATTCTTTATCTATACTAAAGAAGATTTGATTAAGTCCAATGCTCGATCAATATCACCTAGTTATGTATGCTACAATGATCAACTTTGTGATAAATTCTATCCAAATAAATCATTAATTTCATTTAATAATGCTACATGTCGTCGTCCTGCAGATTTTCCATTACAATTTAAATTATTCGCGTTCGCCAGAGGTAATTGGTTCAGTATGTATGTCTTACCACTATATCAAGATCTTTCCCACTGCAACAAAATTCACTATAATGAATCTGCAAATTGTAACAATTTAACCATGTATAAATGTATTAATTCATCAATGTGTATCTCAAAACATCGACTTTGTGACACCATCACAGATTGTAAATACAAAGACGATGAAGAGTGCGCTCAAATCAATGGTTCTTGTTTATTATATGGATTAGATGATCTTTTTAAATGTACGACAACAAATATCTGTATTTCTCCAGCACTGGTCAAAGATGAATGGTGCCAGTGTGGACTTGATCAATATACCTTTTGTGATGATGAAGATCTAAACGATCTTTATATTAGAAAACATATATCATTTGGAACTATTTGTGATGGTTTTACAGAATTAATACCTGTTACTATTGATGGACGAAGTGAAACAGATGAAACAGAATGTGAATATTGGCAATGTAATAATACTTATACACGATGTGATGGGTTTTGGAATTGTTTTAATGGAGCTGATGAAGTTGATTGTTATTCATCATCATTATCATTTAATTGTCCATATCAATATTATCACATTTGTGTTTCACCTCATACACATCAATTTATGTGTTTACCTCTTGGAAAAGCGCATGATGATAATATTGATTGTATTGGTGGTACTGATGAACCTAAACTATGTCGATCAAATGATTATCGATCTAGCGACAAAAATTTTCGGTGCATCAATGACACAGACAAACTTTGTATTAAACCCGAAGACTTGTGTTATCAAAGTCATTGCCAAGATAGAACTGATATACAATTTTGTGATAACCCTCGAGATATCCCCATACACTCTACTATTTGTGATGAACAGTATGAAAGTGTTCGTTCTGAAGTTGAAAATTTCTTTTGTGCACGCCAATTCGATACCAATAAACCGACAGTGGTACATTTTTCACTTGGTAAATCAACGAACTCAACTAATCAAATAACTCAACAACATACAAATGAAATGATCTTACATTCATCCATCAGACAAACAACTATCCAACAATACCAGCAACGTTGTCATCGTGGTCTTCCATTACGAATTTGGTTAAATATTGATAAAAACTTGCCTATTGCCGCATGTCTTTGTCCACCTTGTTTTTATGGTAATATGTGTCAATATCAAAATCAACGTGTTAGTCTTACATTACGATTTCAAACATTTTCTGATTCTCGACGAACATTATTTGCATTAATTATTTTACTTATGGATGATAGTAATGAAAGAATTATTCATTCATATCAACAACTTACTTATATTTATATTCGAGATTGTCAAACAAAATTTAATATTTATTTACTTTATTCAACTAGACCAAAAAATTTAACAAAAAATTATTTTATTCATATTGATATTTATGAAAAGATTTCATTTACATATCGAAAAAGTTTTTTAATTCCACTTAAATATCCATTTTTACCCGTACATCGTGTTGCTGTTCAACTTAACATTCCATATACAAATGATAGGAAAGAAAATTGTTTAAATCAACCATGTATACATGGTCAATGTATTAAATATTCAAATGATAATAATTTTTGTCAATGTCATCGTGAATGGACAGGAAAATATTGTACTATTCCATATAGATGTACATGTTCATCTGATTCATTATGTATTGGTATATCATCAAATAATCGATCGATTTGTATTTGTCCACTTCATAAATGGGGTTCTCAATGTTTACTTCATAATACAATATGTTATTCGAATCAAAATGCTACTTGTCAGAATAATGGTAAATGCATACCTATTGATGAAAATATTATATCTGATAAACCATTTATATGTATCTGTCCGAAAGGATTTAGTGGAGAAAGATGTGAAATAGTTGATAATAAAATAATTTTATTATTTCATAAAGATATCATTTTACCACAAACAATGTTTGTTCATTTTATTCGAGCGATTGATAATGGTCCACATGAAAATGGTTCTACTTTCAAAACTATTCTTGCTGATCAAAAATTAGTTACTATTCAATGGCCACATCCATTTCATGTCGCTTTTCTTGATTTTTTCAATAATAACTACTATTTAATTATTGTTCAAAATAAATACAATTCATCGACAAGAATTATTCGAACAATTACTCCATTAGATCATTGTAAACATATAAGTGAAATATTGAATGAAACTATCATGAAACTTCATCCTCTTCGCCGTATCAAATATTATCAATTACCATGTCAAAAACGTTCACCACTTTTATCTTGTTTCTATGATGATAATCATTTTTGTTTCTGTAATGATTATGATCATCAACGTTTGACTAATTGTTTTGAATTTAATCATGGAATTGCACAAAATTGTTTTGGTCAAAGTAATTGTGAAAATGGTGCACATTGTTTACAAGACAAAGCAACTTGTCCACAAATATCAATATGTGTTTGTCCAAAATGTTTTTATGGAGCAAGATGTCAATTTACTTCAAATTTATTTGATCTTTCACTCGATGCTATCTTAGGTTATTATATTCAACCACATATAAATATTAAATATCAACCATCTATTGTACAAGTCAGTGTGACATTGACAATAATCATTATCATAGGTGGAATTACTGATAGTGTTCTATCGATAATCACATTTAGAAATAAAGAATCACGCAAAACTGGTTGTGGTCTCTATTTGTTGACTTCGTCAATTATTACTTTACTCATTATGATTATTTTTGCATTGAAGTTTTGGATACTTATCATTGCACAAATAACATACATGACAAATCAATCATTTTTAAAGTTTCAATGTATTTCTATAGATTTTCTTCTACGAATTGGTCTTAGTATGGATCAATGGTTAAATGCGTGTGTAGCTATAGAAAGAACAATTACCACAATAAAAGGAACTAGATTTGATAAAAACAAGAGCAAACAAATAGCTAAATATATTATTCTTATTCTTCTCTTTGTGACTACTAGCACAACTATTCATGATCCTATTCATCGACGTCTACTA